GAGTAAATAAACATCCTATTCGGAAATAAAATTGCATAAACATTTTAGACCACCTACTTCCAAAAATAGTATGAACATGGAATAAAGAAAAAAGGGAACGTTACATCGAGAGAGTCTAATGGAAGGAAGTGCCTGTGTTTGTAAATGGTACTTAGTTCTAACACTTGACAGCAGCCAACACCTATCTCACGAATGTGAATTCGGGCTGACTCTGGATGCATAATCAAGAGGGGAGGAGAGCACAGGTGAATCCTGGGGGCCTCGGGCCAGCCCGCCGGAGTCTGAACCCCAGCCCTACCACGTTCCCACACGAGCCGTCTGCCTGCTTCCTTATCCATGCGTAGCACACGTTCAGGCTGCCTCTAGGTCTCAGTTGCTGTTCTAAGGGTGAACTGGGGTAATGTTGATTTTTCTGCTTCCTGTTAAATTCGGGTATTTTTCATGATCCCAAAGACACCTGCAAAATCCGCCTTTCACTGTGGGACTTAAACCACGAAGTAACTCCTCCCCCGGACTGTCATCAGCTCGGTACTGAGAAGCAGGGAGCGGGCTCTGGACCCAGAGGCGTATCTAAGCTTGCATAGGGCCGTCCAGGATGCTGTCTGCATGGGGAGAGAGCCCCTGGCCAGGATAGTGCCAAGGGTGTTAGAAGCAGAACGCACAGGCACAGAACGGGCAGGGAGGCAGAAGAGACCAGGGTGAGGACAGCAGAGGCTTTGTGCGGGAGGGAACAGGGCAAAGCCTGGGAGGAAGCCGGCCTGCCTGGGGACACCCCGGATGGAGGCCTGGGCTCGAGGACTCATGGCCGCTGGGTTCTGTGGCCTTGCTTGTAGGTGACGGACGTCAGGATGCAAATAAGCCCCAGTTTTGCACAAAGCATGACCCGGAGTAGGGATGAGAGCCCAAATCATGGCCGATCTCACGTTCTGGAATGCCTTGATGCCCCTTCTTATAGCATTGTTTTGTCTCGAACTTGGGGATTTGTTCTTCGTACCACCAGACTCTCACTTGATGCCCTGTGCATTGGAGGCACTTGTCTTGTTTGAGCTGCGCCTGGGCGGTGTGAACAACAAGCCCTTATTTCTCGTGGTCCTGGCGGCGCAGCCGCTGGGCAGTCTGGCAAGGCCCGCTCCCTGGCTCATAGACGGCGGCCTTCTCACACGCCCGCACGTGATAGAAGGGGGAGGGAGCCCTCTGTAAGGGCACCAGTCACACGCACAAGGGCTCCATCCTTGTGACCTCATCATCTTCAAAGACCCCACCGCCTCCCATGTTCAGCCCGTAGCGGTGCTCACTCAGTGCGGCGCGTCAGCCCGGGTGGGAGGAAAGCAGGTGCAGGTGGGGAACTGAGGCATGAATGTCCCAAAGCAGTGAAGGGTCTGCCCCTTCATGGAGAAGGGAGAAGGAGGGCTGCGGGGAAATGCTGGGGAGTCGGTGCCGAACACATTTGTTTCTCTCACGATGAGATGACCCCACCTCCCCTTTCCTGTCCCGATTTCTCCGGAGAGGGCCTTTCTGGAGAAAAAGTGCAGTTGGAAGAAATCTGTAATTTGGCCAAGGGAAGGATTAGCCACAGCGACCTCCTCCCGAAATGTGGCAGCATTTCCCAAGCCCTGGAGAGCACCCCCTTGAGTCTCAGTACATTTCATGGACCCCTTAGGCCAAAAGAAATAACCAACAGTTCCATTGATTAATAAATAATTTATTAAGGATTTATGTCTTAATTACTTAGTATCTACTTGACCAAGTCTCTCTCTCTCTGTCTTTCTCTCTCTCTCTCTCTCTCTCTCTCACACACACACACACAGAAAAGTAACACTGTTGCTATTATCCTCAGCCATAATTACTCAATTTGGGGTGTTGGCACTTTGGGCCTTTCCCCACAGAGTGAGGTGGGTCTCTCCCTTCTCCTACACTGATTTCCACACGGACCCTGATTCTGATCACCGTGACCCCCAACAGACCTCCAACACCCAGCTCTGCGAGGGCAACGTGGACTGGGTGTGCAGTGAACCCCGAAAACATCCGAGGCTCCGTGTGAGTTCACTGTGGGGCCGGCCACCGTGGCACACAGTTCAGGACCTCAGGGTCGGGAACCCAGGGCAGTGCCGGCATGGGGAAGTGCCGGTGCCACCTTCAGGCTCGGCTCTGCAGTGGTCACTTCGGCTCCTGTGCCCTGGCATCGGCGGCGGGGGAGGGGCAGAGTCAGGGATCTCCAGCATCTTAGCCCTCATGTCTCCCTCCAGACCAGGGGTCCTTCCTCATCTCCCTGAGGGGTCGTCCACTCCGGTCTCAGTGAGCACCTCCCTCAAGGCTCATCCTCTGCACGGCAGCTCCCCCTTATTCCCGTACCGACGTCCCCTCGAGGTTCCGTCCACATCCCTGCTCCTGGCTGCTGGCATGATGCAGCGTGAGACTCCCTCCCCCACCGAGCCCCAGGCCTGGGACCCTCTCTCTGTGATGGTTCTCGAAGCTGGTGGAACCTCAGTCTGACTCCCCCTGACATCCCGCCAAGCCTCCTATCCCACAGTCACCTGGGACCTCCCATCACCCTTCATCAGCATGATTTCCTTCCTGTGGATGCAACTTTCCAGGACAACGGGGCGACGAGCCTCCCAGACTGTTGTTCACTTGTGTGGCTTGTGGGGCAAACAAGCCCGTGGTGCAAGGTTCTCCAGGCCCAGGTAGGGCGATATGCGGCCCGGGGGACTCCCTGGCCTGGCGGCCCCCAGTGACCCTGGGAGAGGACTAGCCTACTGCTCGAGCTGCTGTGGGCTTTGAGGACGAATGGACGTCTTCCCGCACTCTCCACTGCAGCTACAGGCTCAGCACTCGGCTCGGAGGTGCTGTGGGGCCATAGAAACACTTAGAGGCTTAACTCCCTTCCCCGACGTTCCTTCTGTAACCGGGGAGGCTAGACAGGTGGGTCAGAGGGCAGACACCGGTCGTGCACCCCGGTATGCACCTAAGGGCAGCAGGTAGAGTCTACCAGTGGAAGCACAGAAAACTCCTCCCACTGCCCAGCTTTTGGTGGCAGGGGGTACACCAGCCTTGGCCTTGAACACAGGTGGGACTGGGGAGGTCACCGGAAAAGTCCAGATGAAGTGGAAATTCAGACCCTGGGAGTGCAGGATGTTTGGTTGGGACAGGGAGACACAAGGGTGGACAGACTTATGGGCCTGTCCCAAGGGTTGGGGGAGCTAGGCAGAGTGTGTGGACTTGGGTTGCGGACCAGCTGGGAGAACACGGGCCCCAGGTCGGAGGCGTCCCAGGTTTCTGCCCTGGGTTTGTTCGGCCTGCCCGCGTCCCAGCTCGGTGCCTCCCCGTAAGCTTGTTTTGCGAAGTGTTGTGCTGCTGACCACCTGTGAGGCCGTCTGTGCGTGACAAAGGCCTGTCGCCCTCTGGCACTTGCTCGCCCCATGCACAGGTGGGCTGGCTGCGGCCCAATGCCAAGGGCTCGAGCAGGGAGCATCTCCACCTGTGAGCCGGCTGCTCGGGGGCCAGATGGCGCCTGGCCTCCACTGTCCCCTTTTGCTCACCCTCCCAGCCGCGTGCAGTCACACGCATGCCGCACACATACCAAACACACATCCACACACCATGCACTCTACACGCACATGACACACACTCTACGACGCTACACACGCGGCACCTAGGCCATGACATGCTCTAAACTCACATGACGACTACATACCACACACGTGTCACACACCACACGCGTGACACAGACACATGCACACGCATTGCCCTTCGTGTGGTTTTATGGGCACAATTTATTTCCCTCCGCTTCTAGGCTTAGCAAACACCTTCAGAACTTTGGCCAGTTGGTTGAAGGTAATTCAGTAAATTAAGTCCCGTGAACTATTCACATGCAATCCGCTTGCATTTCCATAGGGTCGTCTGGAGGCATGTGAGCTGGCCTGTCCAGCAGGACCGGGACCCTGGGTGCTCCTGGACCACGGGCTCGGCACAGGAGGGAGACCCAGAACCTCCCCGAGACGAACATCATGCCGTTTCCAGAAGATCATTGTAAAGATGAACAAAGACAACAATTACACTAAATGATCATCATTCCTTTATTTTCCTAATGAATTTTTTAAAATACAAAGTTTGAGGGTTTTACCAGTTTGATACCAACTTGTGGGCGCTTGTGCATGGGGCACTGGGTGTGCGGCCCGGGCACACGACAAGGACGCGGACATAAGTGGCCGGCTGCCTGGCAGGCGGGAGGATGGACATTCCCACTGCTTCCTGGCACCCCAACAGTCATGATGGCCAGAATCTGTCCCCGTGTTACTGTTTCCTTCGTTTCCTCTGAATTCCTCATCAGACAGTTTGGAACTACTCAATGGTCATGACACATTGATAAGAAAGAAATGCACGTGGAGAGGTGTCCCGTTCAGACTTAGAGGGTTACGTACCCACAGCCTGCCTTGGGTCCCTCATTCCACGAATGGCCCTTGAAGGCTTACTCTGTGTCGAGCACCACAGGAAGGGCTGGGATCCAGCAGGAACCTCGCCTGACATCCCTGACCTCAATCCACCAGGAGACAGGCAACCAGCGATAAACAAAAGCAAGATCTTACATACAAAATCATGATAAAGACTTTGTAGTGTGCGTGGACACATGATATAGACGTACGTGTGTTACACACGGACTATTTCGTGTGCAGTACACATGGGGTATTCCTAGCAACAGTGTGTATATACGAGCATGTGTGTGCGTATACATACATGGACATAGCGTGTGAGGAGGGTCAAGGCCACGGGAAAACTTAGGGCAGGCGGCAGCAGGTGAAGAAGGCCTGTATGGGAGAGGCGGCTCCGGTTGGAACCGGGAACGGGGGCCCAGAGTAGATGTCTCTAGAAGCTGTCGTTTTCACAGCCCTTGAAGAGGTGGATGAGCCCCGTGGATGGACGTCTGGGCCAGCATCTTCCCAGGCAGGGGCACACCCGCGCAGGTCGGGTAGGGGGGCCCGCCCTGCCTGCTCCCCGCCCCCGCCCGGGGTGACCCCGCCCACAAGGCAGGTTCTGCTCCCAATGTGGAGCCTCCTGGAGCTGGGCGGGTGAGGAGCCCTTGGCGGGCGGGCTCCGAGGGGAGGAGCAAAGGCAGCGGATTGCCTTTCCCCTTGGGGCCGCAGCCTGGAAGCCACATGTTCGGCCACAGTGGTGGTCCTCTTGTCCGTACCCATCCTGCCCATGACCTTTCTGCAACACCGTGTCTGCACTGGCTCGGGGTTCTTGGCACGCTTCCCCATCAGAAAGCCCCCGGATCGCCAGTGAGGGCGGTTCGGTTCTCGGGAGGACAATTCCTGCAGGTGGCAGGGAGGCCCGCGTGCTCGCCTCCCTCCCAAACTTGCATCCTGGGAAGCAGAGTCCGGCTAATACTGGTGTGTGCGTGTCACCAGCCCAAGCTGCTCGTGACCACGTTCTCCAGGCCCCCTCACGGAGAGCGGAGTGCCCCAGAGCCTGACGGCAAGGTCACCGGGGTGGTGCCATGTGCATCTGCTGGGATCCTGACTGGCTGTGGTGACCAGTGTCTCCTCGGGCATGGTGACACCAGGATCGATGCCAAGGTACGTGGACAAAAATGTAAAGGTAGTAGAGAGTGTGTGCTCGGGCTCCTATTTCCTTACGAATGAATGTGAGCCTGTCTTCCTATGGCAGGAAAGATGGCCAACGTGAGCCCCAAACCTACACTTTCACAGCCCATAACACGAAAGCATGAAAGTCCCATGGATTAGGGTTTTCCAGAGACACAGAACCAATAGAATGTGTGTGTGTGTGTGTGTGTGTGTGTGTGTGTGTGTGTGTATGTACACACGTGGACGCACATGGTGATTACGGGATTAAGGAGGTTAAATCCCAAGATTTGTAGTGGGCAAGCTGCAGACCCAGGAAGCCAGTGGTGTGGCTCTGGTCCAGCAGGGCAGCCTCTAGACCCAAGAAGGTCTCGTGTTTCCACGGAGTGTGAAGCAGGAAAGACGCCACGTGTCAGCTCCAAGCGGTCAGGCAGCGGTGCCCCGCTTGTCTGCGGGAGAGTCAGCCCTTTCTTCCATCCGGCCTTCACGGCAGGGGTGAGGCCCACACCCACCGGGGAGCACCCCTGCTTTCCTCATTCAGAAACACCCAAGCCTGGGCGCCCTGCGGCTGTCGAGCTGACCTATGAAATTAACCATCACAAACCTCCCTCTCGCAGCTTTTCTTCGCTTCAGTTAATGTGCGGATTCTGTTTGGCTCTGTCTGGTTCACCCCGTGGGCCGATCGCTATGGATCAGGGACAAGACGCCGCCCCAGACTCCGCCCTCAAGAAGCAGGTGGGCCACGTGACCGTGTCCTAACAAAGTCCGGTCAGAGCTCCGCCCTGGGGAGACGGCGTGCAGGCCCTAAGCCGCAGGTGAAGTTCCTCGCGACAAGGGTGTACTGCCCCGTGTGGTCCCCTGGTTGATCTGTGATGTCCTGCACACGGCATGACTCCCACAGTCACCACGTGAGCGGAGCGCAAGAGACACCAGCACGGTGGGCGGGGAGATCCTGCGACACCCACCTGTGGTCGCAGAGCGGGAAGGTGTGTGTCCCTGATGCTGTCCCGTGGCGCTCTGGCTTGCGGGGAGGGGGGGGGTATCTGTCCAAGGTCCTTGCCTTTTCTGGTGCCCTCAGCCCATAGGAGCTCAAGGCCGTCTCCTTGGCCCTAGGACAAGTGCGTTAGGGACGAAGGGCGCTACAGTGGTGGCCAACCCACTAAGTCAGGGACTGCTCGTTCACCCTCCCCCTGCGCTCCCCCAGCTCTCACTGCCCCCCCGCTGTAATTCCTGACCCAGGCTGGCTTCTCTCCTATTAATTTGGTGCTTCATACCTCTCTAACCACAGCACTTCGGTTATTATCCACCTGTGACTTCTAAGAGCGGGTCATTTATCACAGTTCTCTTTCTGAGTGCATAACTAACTGAGAAACTTGACCCTCCTGAGGTGGTTATGAATTCAGGAGTCGCCCATCACAGCTGAATGTGTGCAATTTGCAATTTGGGAGCCTCTTGGAGACGCTGCTTTAAGGCAAACAAAAAGCTTCAACGATAGACGCGGCATCATCTACGCTTCCAAGACCAGGACTGCCGTGGGGGCTCAGAGCACAGGCCGGGGCTGAGAACCACGGTCGCTGGGAGCACCTGTGGGATTTGAGGGGCCCCTCACCACCGTGGGACTCGGCTCCCAGAGAGCTTCCGTGCGGGCACTCAGCTCTCCACACACTGAGGTCCCGGCTGTGGGGTCCACAGATGGAGCCCGTGGGGAAGTGAGCCAGAGAGAACCCGAGAGCGCAGGCACCTCCCTGGCCATCCGCTCATCCATGGCTGCCTTCTGGCCTCTCCGCAGCCTTGGCTCCTTCCCGGCCCCGGGTGCCTGTGCTTCCGCTGGTAATTGAATTTCTTCCCTGGAGGCTTCGGACGCTCCGGATGCTGTTTTCTGTTTTGAATCGAGGAGACAAAACTCATCACCTGGTGAGGCTTTTTCAAGTGTTAGTTAGGGAAGTTAGGGAAGTCTGTGATTCCGCTGGGCAAAGCTTTAGGGGGACGTGGAGAGGCTCGTTTCCGCCCCAGACCTACTGTTTAAGATGAAAGGCAGGAATGGCTTCGCAAGGGCTCCTTCTTGAAAGGCTGCCCCGGAGCCTGTCTCTGCCGATGGAAGTCACAGCTCTGACCCACACGTCGGGGGAGGACAGCAGCCGGAGCTGGGATGGGCCAGGCACCCAGGACAGCGTCCGCAATGGACAGTCTCCTTCCAAATCACAGTGTGCAGCTCAGACTCGCTCGGTCATAATGGCTCAGTTCCTTGGCCTGCCACCAACACCCTGAGAGCTCTGAGAGCAGACAATTGAACTAAGACGTCCCTCTCTCCATGTCCAATTCTGCCCTTTACTTTTCCCTAGCCGGTAGAGCGATCCGCTAGAATGTGTTCTCAAGACTGGCTAGCACGAGGGTTTAATATTTTAAATGTACTCTGTCTCCCAGATTTATTATCCATATTGTCCAGACCTAGGGAGCCTTGATAATTAAATCTCAGTATGATGTGAAATTATAAAAGTTTTGTCTCCAAAGTTTGTACTGTTTTAAGCAAAGTAAACGGTAGTCGTTCATGCATATCTCTTTATATTGTCCTGTTTTTACTAAACTTAATTATTGAGTTGGGGAACGTAAAGAGAGTTCAGTCTCTGGTTTAAAAGAGAAAAGAATGTTTGTGGTACCTATTGTAATGCCTGCCTTCTATTTTAGAAGACTATCTGCTGTTAAACATAACAGTTTTGTCCATCAATTTCTCTGCTTTCTCCTTAAGTAAAATTTGTGATTTTGCACTAATTCAATCTATGATTAAGTGAAAAACAATAATGCACAAAGAATTCTTCATTTCAGAAAAATGACAAGTAAACACGGAATCCTTCCTTGTTCTTGTTGTTAATTAATTAATCCATTCCGTGACATTCTACAAAGGACCTACTCTGTGCAAAACACTAGACTGGCTGTGGAATCTCTAAAACAAGACCCCATCTTCCTGAAGAAAATGTGAGTCTCTGGAAGGTGCCAGAAAGGAAGAACCATATCTAGACGAGGAGGCTCAGGAAAGGGCATGATGGCATCTGGACTTACTTAACTGCCCAGCTGATGTCACCCCAGCCATGGGAGATCCATGGGTTCTGTGCTAAGAGGGTCTTTCTGGCCTTCCTATAGAAAGTGTGGCTAAAACTGGTAGAAGACGGTTAATGGAAGGTTCACATGTGAGATATTCCTCCGAATTCTCACCTCCCCTTCCTGCTTCTCATTTAGCAACATTTCCTCGTGAGCTCCAAATACCTTAGTTTGAACCTCTATCTGCCTCATCCTACAAAGGAACAACACAACAAAAACCAACTAGACATTTGTGGAAATCCTGTGGCATAAAAAAGAAAAATCGAGGTAAGCAGAACCACCAACAGAAACAGGGAATTAGGGAAATAAAAGAAATATTTAACATTTTCTGTCAGAAAATGAAGGCACAACCTGATACATTTGCAAAAATAAAGAAACATGGTATAAGAAAGGTTCAACCAGAAAAAAAGAATTAGCTCTTGGGAGTTAACACAGAACCATGTGTGTTATGGGAGGTGTTGCTAATTATTCAATTTAAGGGTTCAAAGGAAAGTCTGAAGAAATCCTTGAGAATTTAGGGCACAGAAATCGAGAATTATATGAATAAAGATGAGGGCCAGAATTTTAATCCAGAAGGTCTAATATTGAATTAGTAGATGTTAGAGAGAGACCAAAGGAAGCAGAAAGAACACATAATCAAATAAATGATACCAATAATTACCCAGGGCCAAGTGAGAGCGAGGCTTCACCCTGACAGGCCGTCAAGTATCAAGTGAGGTTAATGCAAAGGTGCCCAAATCTAGGTGGGCATTTAGGGCCTCTTAGATTATCAGGTAAGGAGAAGCCATAAAAGCTTAGAGAGAACAACTTCCACGGGTTACCCACAGAGAACAGAGGTTCCAGCTGGCCCCAGACGTCTCCTCACCACGGACCCATGAACACGAATTAATCCTCACATCTCAATCAACCCTCAGAACTTTTCAGGAACTCTGAATCTCGTTCCTACCAGGAAACCCCTCAATCATGTCTAAGAAGAGAATGAAGTCACCTTCCGCTGAAAGAGAAAAAGATGGCCTTCCAAAGCCTTCCGGGGGAAGTTTCTTGAATTCATACGCCAGCAAAACGGATCTGAAAATGAAGGAGAGGGAGGGTGTGAGTCATCAGGAAGAGAAAGCAACTTGTTCACTGGAAAGAAATCCGAGGATGACGGTTTGGTTACTGTCCTCGAGAAAAATGTGTGCGAACGAGAGCGGGGATCCAAATGAACTTCAGAGAGGGTCTTTAAGAGAAATGGGCTCCACAGCGTGTAGAAGAGGAGGACGGGACACAGTGACATGCCCCCCCCCCCCCCCGTAGTCCATATGAAGCTCTAGGGAAAACGTACATGACGATTAGGCTAAAGGAAAACACAGCACGAGGACCTTAATCTCTTCCTGTCCTGTGAAGAATGAAGACCAGCATCTCACTTTGATCCTGTGGGTTCTGGTGTTCCGTGACAGCAACTGTGACACAGGAATTCTAGAAAAGCAGGGAATACTATTTCCTATTTGTAATAGCATGCACACATTGCTTTTTCAAAATTTAGGATTAAGTTATAGACAAAGCCTGGAAGGCTCAAGTGTAGATACCAAAGAGAAAGTAAATATGATCGATCTTCATGAAACATGAAGGTACGTTGTATGGAATTTGAGGATACAGAGTTGCAAATTTACTCATATATTAAGTGGGTTCAGAAAGAGACTGATGAAAACTGGCCGAGAGAGAGAGAGAGAGAGAGAAGGGGGGAAATAGACTGAAAATAAAAGATTTAAGCTTAAAATGAGGCCAATTAGAGGAAAGAAAAATAGTGACCTAATTAGAACAACAGGAGCAGAAGATGGAAATCAGTCTGGGTGTGTTGAACCCTTAATTCTTAACAACCAACAGTCAATGAGAAACCAAGCAATAGTGATTCAGCATACTATTGAACAATATGGAAATAATTAAAGAATCAAAATTGCACGAGGCGATACATGGTTAGCCCCTGGAATGGGGCACAGGAATGCATCTTAGGACTTTTCATACTCTTATTATATGGCTTTTAGTACACATTCAAGTATTACTTTAATAAAAATCATTTATTAAAATCTGCTCCTCAACTAAAGAAACTTGAGACATCTCAGCCACATGGGCAACCTTGTTAGTGGGAAACCAACAATAATACATTGTCTGTATACAGATACATACACACTTGCCTATTTCATCTTATATGAAATGTATCATCTGTGATATAAATCTCTCCTTGCCCACGGCCCTTGTGGGAAACCTGACCTTTGGCTAGATAACCTTCTTCTATCTCACAGATTATTTATTTATTTTAAATTTTATTTTATTTTTTCAGTGTTCCAAGATTCATTGTTTATGCATGATTATTTATTTAGATTTGATTTTTTTTTAGATTATTTTATTGCCTTGCCAGTTGGAGAGTCATTCTGTCTCCTGAAGTCTATGTAGCAGAGCCTATTTCTGATTGGCTCTGTGTGGCTTTTAGAATTCGAAGGGTTTTCTATTTCCTAATTCCAAGGGCTACTTCACTTTTTTTTTCCCAAGGCAGTTAAGGGGAACATAGGGTGGGGTTTGGGGATTTAATAATCACAAATATTATATAGATTATCCAATTAGCATATGTGTAGATGAGACTGTCGACCATCCCTAATGACTGGGATGGGATAGGAAGCAGAGGTCATATGGGCTGTAACTCAGGGTTAAACCAGCAAAATCTGTTTCCCTAGACATTCTGATTTTGTCCTGGAAATTCTTTTTACAGGTGCCACTCCCCACTCTTATGTATAGGAAGTTTCACCACCGGTCCCACTTGGGCATAAAAGATAATGGCTAGCCTAATATATTACCTTGAACAAATTACCATCTTGCCTAT